ACACACACACACACACACACACACACACACACACACACACACACACACACACAAAAACTGAGCGTAGGTTTTCACTTCAGACTTAATCTGGGCTCTTACTTGGTGTTATCTTGGGGCTACAACTTTGTCACAGAGGTCATGGTGGTCAGAGAAATCATAAATTTGAGCAACATTCATGAAATCTTGGCAGTGGCTGTAAAAACACATTTGATTAGGCCCCCAAGCCAAGTGGCGTTGTGATCCTGTGTGCCAGGTCGCAATGTCCGGGGTGGGGAGCCCGGTCCAGCCCCTGGGACAGGAGCGGTCATTATGGGGTGAGTGTGGTACAGGCTTGCTCTCCAGTCCCCTGGCAAACCCAATCCCAGACCTCGCCTTTTGTGTCTGTAGATGTAGTGGAAACTACATTATTTGGTGACCTTTCCATGACTGATCCTTTTCTTCCTGCACCTGTGCTATGAAATTAACTAAAAATGTCCCTGCTAAAATCAGAGCCTTATTTATCCCCAACTGTTATGGACCAGGATGTAGGCGGTCTGGCCTAGTAGTTAGAGCAGGAGTCTGGTCTAGTGGGCAGTGCAGGCAGCCAGGTTGGGGAATAAAGCCAAGGCTCAGCACCAGAGTCAACTGCCAGTTACCAGAGCCAGGGGTCAAACCAGATCAAAGCGGAGGGTCAGAGCCAAGGTCAGATGCCAAATGCCAGAGACAAAGGTCAAGCCAGACTCAGGGACAGAAATCAGAGGCCAAGGTTGGAGCCAGGACTGCTCGCTGAAGACTGGAGTCAAGGCATAAGGGCAGGAAGAGAGGCAAGGATTAAGCATGGTGCAGAAGCACGGTGGAAACAGGAGTGAAGATGGGGTAAGGCAGGAGCCAGAAGCAGACCAGGAACAGGCTGGGTGCAAGAGGCAGACACAAGCATGGTTCAATGGAGCACAGCAGGAAACCACCTTGTTACTCAAACTTCCTATTCCTCCTCCTGGCTTAAATAGCGTAGTTGGACCAATCGGTGGAGCTGGGTGATCCTCCAATCACAGCCCCTGTGGGTGGTGGCTTGGCTGGGGTATAGCTCTAGTAGCTTCTCAACCCACCTGGTTCCAGTAGCCATTAGATGGAGGCTAGGATGTGGCAGCTGTCTGGGGATTCTCTTGAACCCAGGCCATCACACTGGGGAGAGGGATAGCTCAGAGGTTTGAGCATTGGCCTGCTAAACCCAGGGTTGTGAGTTCAATCCTTGAGGGAGCCATTTAGGGATCTGGGACAAAAATCTGTCTGGGGATTGGTCCTGCTTTGAGCAGGGGGTTGGACTAGATGACCTCCTGAGGTCCCTTCCAACCCTGACGTTCTATGACGTAACTCCTCCTGCCTGCACACAAAGCCTTCCCATCCAAGTTTGGTGGTGCTTTACACCCAGGTTAGCTGGCTTATCTGGGGCTGTGGGCTAAAACCCAAGTGATGCTTTCACTTGGGTGGATAACCTGCCCACTTTGCAGTGAGGACAGGGGTCTGGGCTAAACCACCAAGCACTGATAGTCCTCCAGTGCCTTCCCACAATTCTCCCATGTGCCCAAAAGGACAGACATGTTCTCCCACAATTCACAGGGAAAGAATCATAAAGCAACTCAGCTTACTGTTGCACAAAGGACCATGGGATAGGCCCCCAGAAGCCCTAGTGACACACGGGAGAGTGCAGAACTAGTGAAGACACAATAACTTGAATGGGGCTGTGCAGTGGGCCTGCTCACTACCAGGCTGGGCTATCCCCAGAGGCCAATCATGCACAGTCCCTCTGCAATGAAGGCACACCCTTCAACAGAGAAATCCTCCTAGCTAGCTTCTGGAGAGAATACTCACTCAGGCCCATACGCTGACTGGCCCAGCTGAGAGCCTGCAGTATGGGCTGGGGAACAGTGCCAGGAGTATCCCTTGCTTCTTATGCATAACGTCCAGGTACAATTATAGTCTGTGCTCAGGAGATCACAGGGACTGCTCCCTCTGCACTCCCACATGGAGGCAGGGCACTGGGTGGGGAAGTGCTCTACCCTACACGCTCCCATCCTTTGGAGATCCATGAGGCATCTTTCCTTCATGATGTAAAATGCTTCCCAGTCCTCTCCTAAGGCACTCTAGCTCTGCACCACCCACAAAAGCACCGCTGTGCTTTAAAAAGCACAATCAATGTTTAGATCCCCTTTTTGGGGCACCTGTAAGGCCAGGATGGCATTTTCAAAATTCATTGTTGCTGGTTGTTAATCCATATTGTTACAGCACATTCCACCAATGCTCCAGGATTGCATGGACCCCAGGTTACATGTAGATGCAATTCAAAGCCCAGATGATTGCACTAACAAGCCCTAGATACACATGATGGGGCAGAACAGTCCCAGAATAGGGCCCTCCACTCTTAGGTTCTCCCTTTGGTGCAGTGGAGTCCAAGGCTGGGATTTTCAAATGCACCTGAGTAGTTTGGGAGCACAAGTTCCCTTGACTTTCATGGACATGTGTTTTCATGAGTGATTTAGGCACTTCTGAAAACCGCAATCCAACTCTGGTGAGCTTCCTGGTAATTTAAATATTTCAATTCAAATCAATCAAAGAAACCATTTCCCAGTTTATATTTCTCCTTTTTGACATGGTTGCTAACCCGAAGTTTCCATAATGGCATTTCTAAAGAGCCACACAATGGATATAAGATTGTAGGAACAAATACTTGCCATTCACGTGGCTAACACACCAGTCTCACTCATTCTCTCTCCCATCCCCATTGTCCCAGCACAGGCACATTACATTCCAGCTCATTTTGCAATGTGCATTTTTGATCTGGCAAGCACAAGGCATTTGACAGACCTGATCTCTTGGACAAATGGCAAAAAACTTCTCAGCAACATGCAACTCCTCACGTACTGGAGTGAAAAAAACCACTTTAATGTTAAACCATATCAAGCATTGGATATGCAAGCACTTTGCGATACCTCCCTTCTCTATCCCTTTGGGAGGACAAAAGCTGACATAGTTTGTAGGACTGAGTCCAAAACAACCCCAATGAGGTTAGAAGGATTAAGCTAGAGTTTCATTAGCTGTGAAACGTGTGTGCATAGACAGACCTGGCTGCATTTAAAAAGTGGTTCTGAGGCCATTCAAAAGGATGCTGCTTCTATTCATTGGACTATTGAGACCACCTTTAAATCAAGAGCTGACTATCTTTTAACGTATTTTCCCTTATTCTTGTGCTTAAGCCAAATACACGGAAACTTTAAAAAATGACTTTTCTTTAAAAAGCAAAAGAGATTTTGTATTAAGCCAGACAAATCAGACTGGAGATGTCTGGTCCAATTAATAATAAGCAGAGTCCCCTAGAAGAAGAAAACTGGCCCAAGATTTTGTTTAAAGAAAAAAAACAAATGTTGATATTTAACCATTTACCGGTTGCCTTTGTTAGCTAAGGAGAAAAATCTATCACCTGAAAGGGTAGGAGGCTGGGTTAATTTTCAGGCTCGCTCCTTTTTGTATTTGCAAAAAGCAGGGCTCTGAACAAGTGCCCTCTAGACAACACTAAAGTTTGGCATTGATTTCCCTTCCCTGGCTGCTATCACCTACCCCACCAATTCACCCATCCTTCTCCTGCCAGCTCTTCCTTCAAAAGGACACCATTTGCAGCCTGGTGTGCAGCATCCACAAAGGGCCAGATCCTGAGCAGTATTAAACACCTTCTGGCTCCCACCAATTTCAGTGGCAGTTGAAGGTGCCCAGAACTACTCAAGATCTGGGTCTAAATTTTCAAGAGCATCCACCAGTTTTAACACTCTAGGCCAGGGGTTCTCAAACGGGGGGTCGAGACCCCTCAGGGGGTCGTGAGGTTATTACATGTGGGGGTCGCGAGCTCTCAACCTCCACCCCAAACCCCGCTTTGCCGCCAGCATTTATAATGGTGTTAAATATATAAAAAAGTGTTTTTAATTTATAAGGGGGGGGAGGTCGCACTCAGAGACTTGCTGTGTGAAAGGGGTCACCAGTAAAAAAATTTTGAGAGCCACTGCTCTAGGCCCAATACTCGGAAGCGGAACCCCCACAGCTTCAGTGCAAATCAATGGGAACTGCAGGCATTCAGCACCTTTGAGGAGTAGGTCCCAGATGTCTCAAATTGGGCACCAAAATTAGACATGCACACTATTTGTTGCAAGAAAATGGATGGTAACTGGAAAGGGAAAGACACCCCCTATGGATTGTAAGTTTTTCTTTATTTTCTTAAAATTCCTATTAACTAGAATCTTTGCTGGTGGTTTGGCTCACCATTCACTGGATAGAGAAGACATCTGGGAAAGGTGCAACTCTTGTAGCTACCTACCAGATCTGGCTTTAGTAGCCACGTGCTTCCCAATTATTCCGGGAATGAAACTAAAGCGTCTCTTTTTAATATATGACTTGTGGTATGGACAGGCAGGGCTAGACCCAAGGTTTGAGGAAGGAAGCCATCAAATACTCCCCAAAGTAGAGGAAGGTCAGGGGAAGTTTAAGCATTGCACATATATATTTAATATGTTTATTTTGGCACTAACCTTTGACTAAGTTAATGGTGGCAAGGGCATGTGTGGAGCAGAAGAGGAGACTTTCAGGGTGGGGAATGCATAGGAGAGAGAGGGAGTGGAAAAACAAATTGCGGCAGGGCTGCCAATACATTGGGTGGAATTACTAGGAATCAGGGAGGATATGTGAAACCTGCACAAGGCCAGCCAACCAAGTGTATGTAACCAGTTCCGAGGAAACCAGCATTTCACACAGCCATAAGCAACTACATCATAAAAGTGCTGAAATATGCAGCCAGTCATTCTTCGGTAGTTAATTTCCATCATGAAATGCAGAACACACTGCTCCGTTTATGATCATAAAAACATTCAACCAGGCTTTAGTTTATTTCTACCCAGCTAAAACTTTGAACAAAAACTTGGAGCTCTATTTGTGGTCCCTCCCTCCCCCCCCCACCTTTTAAAAAAAGAAATCTATATCCGCAAGACAGAAGGTGTCCTTCGAAAGACAGGGATACAGGGTCTGATCCCAAGCCAAGTGATGTCAACAGGAGCTTTTCCATTGGTTTCAATGGGGTTTGCATCAGGCCCATAACTCCATGAGTAAATAACATTAATAATAATAATATAATAATATATGGAGATCTACCTATCTCATAGAACTGGAAGGGACCCCGAAAGGTCATTGAGTCCAGCCCCCTGCCTTCACTAGCAGGACCAAGTACTGATTTTTGCTGCAGATCCCTAAGTGTTATACCTCCCCTCCCTTTTTCTTTTTTTTCTTCTAGCAGAACCAAGTACTGTCCTATTTAGGCACCCAAATAAAAGAGGTCTGATTTTCAGATGCAGTGGGCACTCTGAGCGCCCGTGAACACGTGTCGAAAAACAGGCCGTTTTATTATTGTAATGTAGGATTTTTAGAAGCACCTATATGATTTAGGAGCACAAATCCCAGTGGCTCTCAATGGGACTTGTGCTCCTAAGTCACATAGGCACTTCTCAAAATATTGCCCTAAAAGTTAGATACCTAGAGTGGGATTTTCAGATTATGTGCCAAATGTATAGGCATGAATTGGAGGAGGAATGGAAAGCAATGAGTTGGGGGGTTGTTTCTAAGTGATTTGCACTTTGTACTGCTCAAGTGAAAATTTCCAAAGGATATTTTATAACCAAGCTAATCACTTATTTTCTGCAGCTCACTTCATCGGACGTAGGATTCACAAACTTCTTAGGCATTGACAATATTTGTACTTTTAAAATTAAACACAGCAGGATGCCAAAAAGCTGCAAGTGGAAAATGTAATTACAGAAGACTGGTTAATATTCCTGTCTAGCCAGTTTAGCCTCAATATAAAAGCTCTTCGTGCCTGGCTTTTTCATTGCCTAAGACATTTAGCCCATCAGTGTTGATTTTTACCATTATATCTTTCAAAAAGGAGCCAAATGTTGGGTTATTAGCCTGTATTAATTGTACAAATCTTTCCCACTCTAGGATCTAAAAAAAAAAAGAGACAGGCCAAAAGATCAGGGATACAGAGCTTCTCAGACAGCTAACTCAGAAAAGCAGCAGTGTACTAAGTATTGAATACACTCAAATATTTAGACAATTTAGATATTCAAAAAGACTAGCATTGCCTCCAAATTTGGATGTCCAATTTGAGACACCTTAAAAAGGGGTCTGATTTTCAGAAATGCCCTTCAGGAAAATTCAGACCCTTTAAAGGTGTTTCAAGTTGGGCACCCAAAAATCAAGGCACCTAAAATCTCGTGTCACTTTTGAAAATCTTGCCCATGTAACTGGGACAATGTTAAGGGAAACATGGGAATTGCAGGAACCAGATGCCAAGCAAAACGCCCGCATAAGACATGAAGATACCCATACCGACTGCCAAAGTGACTGCTGATATTGTCTGTATTGTGTCCCTTCACTGTGAGCAGTGGAGGTTCCCTGGAAATCCCAGCCACATAGTGGGAACTTAGCCACTTACATCACAATTTAAGACGGTGCAATGTGTACTGACTTCCCTGGCTGACCTGGTCTCCTGGCTGGCGTGGAAGGGGTTGTCAGTGCCATGCCCCTTCCGTCCCACCTCCAGAAGCAGCCAGTAGTTCCCCTCCTCTTACTCAGGAGGATCTGCAAAGAGCTATCCTTTCCATATGGGGGGGGGGAATAAATATTATCATGTTTTAAACAATCATAACAAACCCCACCTGGGGTCACCAGTGGGAAGTGAAACTGAGACCATAAGCACCAAAAACACACACCTCCACTGCTTGAACTAAAGGAAAAAACTCCTTTACCTTTTAGCAATAGTATGCTCTTATGTAAACAAATCTATGTAAACAAATTCCTAGAGAAATGTAACACAATTACCTAACATGCTACATACTCTCCACATCAGAAGTTTGTTCCAAACCTCAGAGATCCCACAGCAAGTGTCATTACCACTAACCTGACACACTAGTGCCCTGTGGAGGCAGGGATGTAGTGATATTCAGAGGAAATCAGGGTTACAGAATTAAAAACAACAATAAAATATTAGAAAGGAACCGATCTCATGAGTACTCCAAGCAATGGGTCTCCGGACTATTTGCTAAAACTGGAGAACACACATGGCCTGGGTTATTACAGCTGTTGCATCTCTAAGTAGAGTTACCATACGTCCAGATTTCCCGGGACACGTCCGGCTTTTTGGTACTCAAATCCCCGTCCGGGGGCAATTGCCAAAAAGTCGAACATGTCCGGGAAAATAGGGAGGCAGCATAAGGCAGGGTCCGCCCGGCCCCAGCATGACCCGCAGGGTCCGCAGCGCAGCCCAGCCACGGGGAGGCCGGGCCCAGCCAGCGGCTCGGGCTTCCCTCGCGGGCAGGGACTCCCCGGCCACTGGGGGACCCTTCCTGCGGCCCCGTCACCCTGCGCGGCAGGAAGGAGGGTGCGGGGTGGGGAGTGCGGCGTGTGCCGGGGCTGCAGGGACCCGTGCTGCCCCGGTCGCCGCTGAGCGTCTGAAGCCCCCGCCAGGCAGAGGCTGCTGGGGGAGCGGGGCAGGCCGGGGGGGTGCAGA